GTTTTATGTAATACTCTTATGAACACTGAAACAGTCTACCTTCCAATCATTCACCGTATACTTGTTAAATAGCTCTATCATTTCTGTTTCCTTCAAGTGAAGCAAACATAGATATCAAAGACAATTATGCGGCCCTTAAGATACTTAGAGGTAATTTTTTTCAAAAGAAAATTTAGAAAGGGTCGGACACCTAAATAACATCAAGATGAACAACTCTGAGAAGCACACAAACTTCAAATAGGTTTAATTTTTTCTGAAAATGTGGTCCAAACTATTTATGCTCAATTCCATTGAAATTCTGTCCTTGGTATGTGCATCTCTCCACACCATTGAAAAGAATTTTGTAGAAAAGGAAAAGAAAAGAATCTGAAGTCTTTACATAGCAAGGAAAATGCAGGGCAAAAATCTTGGCGGAATTATTTGCTTGAGGTTAAATCTTCTCATCATCATCCAAATTGATATGAAGAATCAATCAGGATTCTTCAGAATTGAGACCCAGCTAAATTACCTTCACATCAGTAAACTGACACAAGATTCTATTTAATCATAGAATCACAGAAGGGCTTGCATTGGAAGGGTCGTTAAAGACCATCTAATTCCAGCCCCTCTGCAATGGCAGGCACACCCTCCATTAGATCAGGTTGCCAAGGGCACATCCATCCTGACTTTGAACACCTCCAGGAATGGGACATCTATAGCTTCTCTGGGCAGCCTGTTCCTGTGCCTCATCACCCTCTTAGTGAAGAATTAATTCCTTCTTTCTATATAGTCTAAAAATACCTCTTTTTAATTTAAAACCATTACACTGTGTCCTGTCACATCATTCCCTGACAGATTCCCTCATCTTTTTTGTCGGCCACCGTCATCCAAGTAAAGACAGCTGTGGTCATAATGTTGAACGCAAACCCCAATAATTAAGATTTTAGGTTTGTTTCATGCTAAGATGAAGAAGGAAAAAGTTTGGATGCGGTCACTCTGAACTTTTTAGGGTGTATTTCTGAAGAGCAGGAGTTTGAAGAAAGTCTGTACTGTATCAGGTTGCTCTATTCTTAATGAACACAAAAAATCTGTACAGTAACACTACAATGGCAGTTGTCAGAATATAACCAGCATTATCTTTCAGTACAGTATATACAGTATTTGTATGACTGTCTACTAATCTGCTGTTGTTGCTACCTCTCTATCAAGCTAAAAATCTGGGAGATGTGAACTGTTTGCACACCTTCTGTTGCATACCCCTCTCAATTTTTAGATCAGGCTATCAGGTCCCATATTTTGTAATGCTTGGAAAAGCACCGAGGAGCCATTCTTCTTAGGAGAAAGAACCCACATCAGATATAATTTTACACTGAATTTTCTTAGCCTTCTGCAAATGTCTGTTCATACTGAGTACACTCAACAAATGATATTAATCCATTTAATACTAACTTAATATTTACTTTGTATAAAACTTGTCACATGGCATCTAGGCTTTTAGCTATAAATTTGATCATTGAGACAGGGAAATTTAATTCCCTCATCTGCTGAACCACGTAGAAAAACTATCTATCTAAATCATGTTTAGATAAGGCATACAGCAGATCTTTCCATTTGTCAGCCTTATTCAGTTTTATTTTTGATCAACTTGTACAAAATCACTACACTGCATCACTCCTTAGGAACAAGGCCATATGGAATTTACAAGGGGGAAAATCAGCATCAGAAACCCACCTGCTCATCAACAGGAATTTTACAGCAATGAGAGTATCTTCTAAAATGACACTTCGCAAAGTTTAGGAGTGAACTTTACCATTGAAAGAGAAAAGCTAAAAACTTTTTTTTTTTTTTTTTTTTTTTACCCCAAAACCATTGGTGTCATTAAATGTTGGAATAAATGAATGTGATGGGCTGACAGACAGCTCTTTATCATGAAGATATTCAAACACATCACATTAATTGCAGCTTCTCCAACATGGCTCTATCCAGCTCCTCCTTTCTTAACACCTAACAATGCAAGTTTTAGCTTCCATTCTTATTGAGTCATTAGGCTCTCTACGGATACTGGAAATGAATGTAATCACGTATGGCTAATTGTGGCAGATATCAGATGACAGAATCTGTATACCCCAGCGAGGTCTCAAAGGCAGGGAGAAAAGCGGAGGGCCTCAGATTACAAACCTGTCAGTGGGAATCAACAGGGCATTTCAAAATGAGGCATTACATTTTAACTGACAAAGGGTTCCTCTGCCACAGGAAAACAATCAGATGTTAGCTGTCCTTCTAAAAATACACTCCGCATTTCATTTATACAGAGAAAATTCAATTTTGACAATGAGGAATAGAAAAGTACTTCCTGCTCATTCGGCAGTTTGCTACTAAAGCCACGCTCTGACTTAAAATTCTCTAATGAAATAGCAGAGGTATGTTTATTATCACCATACAAATAAACAAGAAAAAATTCTTGTTTTTGTCTCCCCTAAGATATCACCAAGTTTTGCTGGGAGCAACAAAACGCTTATTGTGCCAGGTTCTTTGATCTGTTCTAAAAAGTACTGCTTTTAGTATACAAAACATGAAAAGTAAGTGATAGGGAGGATAAAAAAAAAAAAAAAAAAAAGAATAAAAGAAGGAACACTGTGTTTTTCTGACCTTCTACTCTCAGATGACCAGAGGACAAAGTGTTTCCGGGAACACTGTGGTTATATATAATATACATGAATTTCTAAAGCAAGAAGAGTTCCTCTTGAAGAAACTGTAATGCCTACACGTTCACTCATACTACTTACAGGTGGCTTTGCATCAGTTATTCATGACAAACATACTGAAGGAACAATCACCAAAAAACCAAAACTGAATTTGAACAGAATTTGGAAAGCACAATGCTTTTAGGCCAGCGGCTACATTCTGCATCAGGAAGGTTCCTCAAATGAGATCAAAATAATCTTCACATGATTTTCCCTCAGATTCAGCTCCACTCATGTTAGAAAGGGTGAAAGTCCATTCTGAATGTTTTATTGTAAAATCTTTCTCAAAACATATGTAGTCTGTCTAACTCTTTCAAATCGCAGCAGAAATGAAGAGGCATGTCCAATTTCTACCAGTTTATAGTGATAGCCAAAATCAGTTAGACAAGAGAAATATATGAGTGGATTTTTTTTTGTAGCATATTCACAACCTTAAAGATCAAACATGAAAGAATCTACAGTTAGTATGTTGAACCTCTCAGCCTGCCTAGCTACCAAACTTTCCCTCCAATTCCAGACTAAATAACTTGTAGTAAAAAAACACAGGTTAATTTCGTCAATACGTTCCTTTTAATATTTTCATTTACACAGAAACACAAAGCCTCTGAGGTTTGCAAATTCTTCATCATCTAAACTCATCTTAAGATATTTATAAAGTCAGTGACATTAGCACACAGCCATCTTTTTATAAGGAAACTATTACTGTGATAAAGCTCATTTTATTTAGAATGCTTCAGCCTGCCACATGCAGAGATACAGCCCAAAGCTGGTCCTGAAATGAAAGTACACAATCCTCCAAACTTACCGGATCACTGATGCATTCTTTTAGGAGCAGATTGAATGAGTGTATAAACGAGAAGAATTAGACTACGCTCATTCCTAGCTAGCTCCATTTTTTGTTTCCATTTTTTCCTTCTTCCTTCAATATGTGTTCATGTGTGTTTGGCTATTATAAGCATATTATCAATACTGACGTTACTCCTCAAAATTCACCTCAAAGGGTTGACTTTTATGGCTCCTATGATTCTTAAGCCGCCTACGGTATTTGTAACTCACAGAATCAGAAGCTAACACACAGTGTAGCTTTTCATACAAAGGCACAATAGGAATGAATGTATTAACCTCTGTGGTGCATGGAATGTGTCAGCTTACACACTGGCAGCTATTTCTGTGAAACTCTGTTAACTTCCGCTGTCAGTGTTAAAATAAAATAAAATCTTCCCCAGAATTATGTCCCATGCTCTCACTTACTGGTCAAACAACTAAAATATCTGATGTCATAGAGAGCCTACTTCATACTGATGCTGGCCAAACTGAGTTTGAGAAGGCACTTTACATGCACTGTTTACAAAACGTAGAGCTTTTCCTAGTAGGCATAAAGCTCTATGTTTCATGTGACTTGGCAAATAATCATAAGTAGGGAAACAAATTAGCAATTGAGAGTTGCATTTTTTTGTTTCATTTTTATAAATGAGTGTCAATCAGGACTGTGCAGGAGTGAAGATGATTTAAATCCTGATTTAATTTAGTCTCCAATTTTGACTGCAATCACCCTACCAGCAAAGCAGATGTGCAGACATGGACATCAAATTTTCTAAGTTCCAAGAGTTTGATGAGGGTAGGAAGGCTGATCACAAACAGCTGAGGAATATCTGCACCACTGAGGCACATGGACAGCACACTAATATCTCCAAAACTTAGAGCAACATTGGGAGATATGAATCCCATACATCCAGAAAACACAGTTAAAAAAAAAAAAAAAAAAAAAAAATTCTGTAGTATCCTTTCACCTGTTTTATAACTGCCTACGTTAAAATAGCATAATTTTTAACTATCTGTACAATAGCAGTACCCAAAACGTGATGAGCCCATGAAACATGGTGGGAGGGGCCAGTTGTTGCACTGAGAGCTTACAGCTTAAAACGCCATAATCTTGCTAAGTGACTTTTAAGCAGTTTAGAAGTGCTCATCAGGACAGAGCTTTTCTGTGGCACAGCACGTGTCTACACCCAGCCAGGCTGCACAACCCATCCCAAAACAATCTGACGGATGGGGCCAGCTAACACACCGGACTTGTAGCGCCAACATAACCACAGTTAGATTGGTGACAATACTAACTAGATACTAAAAAAGCTACCAAAAAGTTCCATGTCAGCGAACGGAAAATGAACACGGGCTGACAGCTGCTTTGTTCCTGATGGAAATTCTGCATGGAGAGCATGGCCCAGCAGCCCTGCTCACTCCACATGCAGCCCACCTGCAGCCTGCTGCACTTACCTGCAGTTGGAGCGGACCTAGGCCTGGTGTTGCTGCGGCAGCAGCTGCCATGGTAGTCGGGATCAGCTGAACGGGGTAGGGGTCACCTAAGTAAGAGAATAATAGAGGCGTCAGCACCTTTTATCTGCTCTCCACCTGCAAATTAAAGTCCTGCATTCACTCCTTCCAAAAGCCTTCTTTTGTGTGCCTTGTTGAGGCCTAATGAAAAGCTCTATTGTGCAGCCTTTTACTAACACTCTTTTCACAATTCTGGCTGAGAGAGGAATGTGAATAAAAGGCACAAGCAATTAAGGCGGAAACCTCATCCTTTTTCATGATGTATTTAGGGAAATGGAAAAAAAAAAAGTGCACATTGATCAGAAGGCTGCACTTCAAAAAAAAGAAAAAAAAAAAAGAGGGAAGAAAGAAAGAAGATGGGGTGGAGGAGAAGAAAAGGAAAACAGTACAGCCTTGATAAGATCACAGCATTAGAAGGGGACAAATTTACAAGCTTGTCTGCAATATGGAGTTAAGCAAACTCCGGTCACTGTTAGCAAACCGAGCCCCACACGGATCACAAGTGGCACTCCCCGCAGTACCGGCTTTGCTTTCAGGCAAGAAAAAAACCCTTGCTTTGCACTTTCAGGGTTTGATCCTGTAACAGGAAAAATCATGTGGAGTGCATCAGAGACAAGCCCCTGAAATCCCCGCGTCAACTCCACCCCACGACTTGTGGTTCAGTTTTGCTTCTGAAAGAAAACTGTTTCAGCTGCGTTGTGCAGAATGAGATAAAGGGACCCCGTAAAAGCTTAACAAAAAAGGTGCAGGCTTTTATTAGGGAGAATCTTATGAGACAGCAAAAGTTTAGATAGTGACAGACATTTTTTTAATGTTATGGGACATTCACTTTCAGTCACTCACTTTTATTCAGTATAATAAACTTTTTACCATCTCAACAAAAGATCTATTAAGAAAACTGGTAAAAAATAATTATAAAAAACATTTTAAAAGCTACATGCATTATACTGCTTCTCCAAGTGGTAAAATGTTTAAGTAGTTTCCACGCAAATAAGGATCAACAGAGCCCTTTGGTTTGTTCCTATGTTCTGTTAGCATGTCTGATTCCTGCAACACCAAAAAAGCTTCTTGAATTGAAACTACAGAAAAAGTGATGATGCTTTATCAAGAAAATCTAGCTAAATGTTTCAGCATGTTTTATTAGATAGGTAGGTTAAAAGTTCTCCTCATTTTTATTTAAGTGAAATGTGGAAAAAAAGCAAATAAAGAAGGTGATACAGGCTGATCTGTACAACAATCATTAGCAGTTACTGAATTAAAGTTATAGTAGTATCAAGTGTAAGTTACAGGGAGCAGAAAACAAAAGAAAAGAAACATATCTCATATTTGAAAAATGTCAGAAATAATCTGTGCTGGTGCATACTTCTTCAGGAAAAACGTTATTGTTTATTTTCTCCCTTTTATAACACTATGCTCTTTACAGAAGTCTTTTCATTCATTTTATTCATTTCTCTCTCCTGTTACAAATTAAATACCACAACTTCTAGAGATGGAGGTCCAGAAAAAAAGAACTGGACTAGGAAAGCATTTTAATAGATACTTAACTGCAAGCATGTCTACTTATATGTAAGAATATCTTAAATAATGCTTTGCTGAAGCCCCACAAGGCTAGGAAGCCAAGTAACAGGAATCCAAAGTTCAACACAGGTACCTTCATTCACAAATGTCCCTGGCATCAACATCAGGCCATACTTCTTTATTTATTAACAACGGGCACAGATTTCCTGATTAGTAGTGTGCTTTCTTTTGTTTGTAGATTGTTGGTTGCTTTTTTTTTTCCCCCTGAAGATTTTTCATTATTTTACTCTTCTCTTTTGCTTTAACTGAGATGTACACTTTCCATTTCATATCATGGATTGAATGAAACATTTCTCTGACATGAAATTTTCTTGAGAGTTATTATCCTGTGACCCAAGCAATGGGCCTTGATGCAATGATGTGAAATCATGGAAAAGAAACAGATGGAGATTCAAGACTTAGAGTGAATGATGTTCAACTCCTACCATGACACTAGTACCCCAAAGGCTAATCTAAGTATCTTTCTGAAGGGCTCCTCTCTAGAAGAGGACATTTTGTTAAAGTACCAGTTGTAGAAGAATATGACATGATTACTTTCTTAATTCCAAAAAGAACAAGGGAAATGATGCTCACTAGCATATTATTTTACAGTAAAAATTTCAGTTACAAATAATACATACTAAAACACAGATATTAAAAGATTAGCTTCCACGTGCTGTCTCACATTCCTCATTTCTCCACACTCTATATAAGCTTCAGCCCGCCCTCCCACAACCTCATGCACAATTCATAAATCCCACTATTCTCAACTCCCTGAACAGCCTGGCAGATTCTCATACCCTAATCTGCTGCGGTATTTCCTATCCTTTTGGGTGTGTTTGGTAGATGTATCAAACTTGGTTCATGAGAGAAGAACATACTAAAGACCACATGACTATGCACATAGACTCACTGGCTTTGGTGGCTTAGGGAATGCCTCTCGGACTCCTAACAGAGTAGCCTAGAAAGCACATCTCTATTACACTAATGTGTGCTTATGTAGAATCATAGAACGGTTTGGGTTGGAAGGAACCTCATCTATCATGTAGTTCCAATCCCACTGCCACAGGCAGGGTTGCCAACTGTTAGATCAAGCACACAGAATCACAGAATATAGTTTCTCAGAAGTACAATTCTAAAGAAAAGTCTCAAATTCATCCTAAAACCAAATCGTAACTGTGTAGAGTTAGGCTATTTCATCTACTGGGCAGGTTGTTTGTCAGTTCACTCTTTAATGGGTTTCACATATTTCCAGTGCTCCAAAATCTTTTTAACAAACAAAACCACAAAACAAGTCTGAAAGGCTTCTGTTGCCTATTACGAATATTATAAAAGCCTATAATTATGCTTTGGTAACATTCTCTGCTATCTTGTGCTTATCTTTAGCAATTGTTCTTATGAAGAGAAGAACACCCATCTGTGCTCCAATTTTTTCACAAGTGCATCACCGCTCCCACAGTCCAGACACCACAGCAGCAGCAATGGAGCTGGAGCAAGGCCCAGTGATGAGCAGAGGCACCATGAGGGTTTGTGTTCCACTCTGTTTGCCTTCTAATAAAGATCACCTCTGTCCAGAAGAGCTCACCATTCACAAGAGACAAAACACAAGAGTCAAAAATATGCTGAAATGCTGTGCCTTGCCTGACATCATGAAATAGCCCAGTGGAAAACCCACAGGTAACTCGTCAGCCAGTGCTCTTCCCAAGGAAGGAGCCAGGCCCTGTATAAACATGGGGGTCAAGCACTCAAAGATACCACATAATGCAGGAGAATCACCACTTTTCAGTGTACTAAGGCTTGAAGCCTCCTCTAATAAATATATCTGCATGCTCTCTGCCACTACTTCAGAACAAGACACCTCTTTTGATGTCCTTAAATTTATTCCCATATCATACACAGTTTTGTCTGGTCGTAGTTAATTTGTAAGTCTGAGAAACATGCTTCTTAAACTATTTGCTTAATACTTCGGTAAATATCTTATATTTACATTTACAAAAGTGCTCAGTTGTGGGGGTTTTTTCCCCAAGCTCTGGGAATTTGTCAGCAATATGAGGTAAGATATACAGTTATCTTAGAAATCATTATTAGAAATATCTATTTCCCAAGCCACTCACCAGCTTCTACCACTGAAAAGATAGGTAAATTCTCAGACAACTATATTATGTTTCAATTCACAAAATTCTCTGTTAATAAATACACTAACACACACAGGCAGAAGAACACCTTTCTGAATCTTTCAGCAATCGAAAGAAACATATTGTACATTTTTTTCAAGTTCCATCTCTTATTAAGAGTGGCCTTTTGTTATGAACAAAGCACAGAGAGTTTTGTTGTTGTTTTTTCCTTTATGGTAAAATCTGGAGCAGGTTAAAGGCTGCGACTTTTATTCAAAGAAGAAGACAAAAATTATTTCAATACCTTACAAATTCTTCTCTAATATGCAGTTATTTCCTAGCTACTCTCTGACTTCACTTTGAAGAACAGAATTATTCAAGTCTGACTACGTGAAAAAGAGCACAGAAATAAGTTGGTACAGGAGATACAGCATGTAATGACTCAAATGGGATACGTCAGGTTGGCTGAGCTGACAGGGTGTATGAGAGGTACTGGTGCACACTGTAAGCAAAGGAGAATTCCATGGGCCAGACATCACTTTTGGAAGAAAGAAGGCAAGGCTGAATCCTTCATTCTGTCCAATTCTTTATTTCTCTATCCCTCCTCTGGTCCGTCTTCTGCTAACATACCCAGAGCTTCTTTCTTGATAATTTATGCACTGCAACTTCTTTCAATTTCAAATCACACCTTCATCCTTGCCCAAAATAATCTTCTAAGATCTTGCTTACAAGAGCATTTTTCATGAAGTACATTCACTTTTAAAACATTCTTCCTATGAACTCTCCATCGTACTCCACTGAAAACACTCTGCAAAAGAAAACTGTGGTACCGAGCCAAGTGGACATCATGTCCTAAAACACAAAATAACAACCTTGTGTTTAGGAACTTAATTTTCAATTGACTAGCTATCAAGCTCACGGATATTAAATGATTTCTGTACTTGCAGAAGTACAACAGGGGCTCTTAAAGAATTTATGTGTTTTGCAAAATTTTATCAAAAGAGTTTAGTAAGTAAAAAAAATTAATAGTTTCAGTTAAAGGGAAAGGAAAACATACGAGCTAACATTATGTGTGTTGCACCATTCACCTAAATTCACAAGACATTTTTTTTCTGTCACTCATCTCATTTATTCTCCTTCAAGGTGTAATCCCCCCTAGTGTCTTGTCTAATCTCCTGACAGGCTGCAAGTGTTGCAGAGCAGGCACAATTGTCTTACTTGCTATATAAATCAAGTTACATGCTAACGTTAAATTATAATGTTTTGACAAGATTTTTAGGTTGAACCTTATTATATGAAACAATAGAGCTCTCCAATTTTATCCTGAAATTTTCTTCTCAAAAAAAAAAAAAAAAAAA